AATATGCACGGGGGCCCCCTTTTCCCATTGTTGGGGAAAAAAAGCCCCCCGGGACTTGGTTGCCCCCCCCCCCCCCCCAGGATAAGGAGGGTCTAGAAGTGTACGGAATGTCGAAAGAAGTAATAGGGTTCAAGCATTACCTACATGGACCAATGGATGCAGGGACAAAGCTTAAGGTCAAATTCATGACCGGGGACATAGACCTTCGAGAACGTCCACGAAGACACAGGACGGTAGACGACGAAGACGACAAGTTCAAATGTGATTGCGGCTTCGAATGCGAAGACCGTGTTCATGTAGTCGCGGAATGTCCGTGGTACGAAGAGGAGAGGGAAGTGTACATGACTGAGCTGGGAAAAATGCAAGGGATGTACAGGGAGATGTTTGAGGCATGGAATAGAGAGGAGAGGACGGTAGCTGTACTGGGGAGTAGGAAGTGGTTTGAAAAGGCGGGAAGGGATATCGTTAGGATAGGCAGACTAGGAAGACATTTTTGAGCCACCCTTGGCATAGTAGGAAGGAACGATTGGCCATCGGTGGTCGGTCCTGTGGGAACAATGCTCCGTCCTCTCAAGGACGCTTGGTCAATGGTCTAACCGCTAAGGCATGCAACACATAAGAGTCCCCCCCCCCCCCCCGATTCCCCTGCCCTCCAGCATTAACCTCCGGGAGGAATTCAAGATGATCCACACGCATGTGTACATACGGGCTGTACCTGAATTCAGGCTTTTGATTACATACCTGAGCTGAACTCAGGCTTTTGACTATTTACCTGAGTTGAATGCTCACAGCACCTGAAAATGTTTTACTCGGCAACCCACCGGATCTGTTGTTGGTTTAGGACATTGCTAAGCGTTGCTTGCAACAACGGAACCTTGTTTCTCTTCGGTAAGGTCAGAAAACATGCTGTACTGCTGCGAAGACTACAACAACAATATTAACAACAATAACAACAACAATAGCAGCAGCGACGGTGACAACAACAGCAACAACAGAAACACCAGCAGCAACAACAGCAACAGCAACAGCAGGAACAGCAGTGACAACAACAACAGCAATGACAACAACAACAACAACAACAACAACAACAACAACAACAACAACAACAACAACAACAACAACAACAACAACAACAACAACCCACCGAATCAGGAACAACGTGGTAGGTCCTCTCCATATTGCTGAGAATCTCCAAAGACTTCTCCCAGTCACCCAGCAGCGCGAAGCCGTGGATGGCCGCGTTCACACAGGTGCTGTTGGGGCTCACGCGCTTCTTCCGCATCACGGACAGGAGTTCCAATCCTTTCCCTGGGGAGATGGGGAGAGGTGGATTTGGCAGAGCACGTGCCGTCATTTTCACACAAAACAAACAGCAGCAAAAACAGCAGTAGACGGTTTGTTCGTTGGTAGGAGGAAAATGAGGTCATTTCGAAACGGCGAAAGAAACTGGCGGTGCGCTTCTGCAGCAACACCAATCGGGGTTCTTGAAGCCAATCCCTGAGGCGGAACGTGCTTTTTCGCAAACATGCCGTTTTGTATGGCTGTGCACGTTAAAATATTCATTTTCCCCAGAGACAAACGAACGACAGCAGTTGTAGGACGAACCAATCAAAATCGATTAATGAAAGCCACATGTTTTTTTAGCGCTCTTCTTTCCGCGTCGTGGACGGGGGATTTCAAGCCCACTTCTCGCGAAGGCGTAGGGCTTGTCAAGGGCACACACAACGTCTGGAGGTTCTCATTTCCGACGAGACAATCGAATTCTCTTGATTTGCCAACCCAACAAGGTATGTATCCCCGGTGTTGCGGGTCTGTTTCGCGCTTCTCCCGACTCACTTTTTCCAATTGTTTGAAGCAGTGCACTGCAGAGACCGCGGTGAAAAGCAGACCATTACTACGACGCTAACAATCTATCTTCGCAGGGCATGATACGGAAACGGCTTCTATTTCGCGCAACATGAGTGTGCGTGTCCGTGTCTTACAGTAATACAACGTACACACCAGAATATTGTCACCCCCCTTTGAATTCACTGGATATGACCCGCTTGGGCCATTGCCGAATCGTGTGCCCGTTCAATGAAAATGGACGTTTCACAGTCCGGGAAAAACAGGTACAACTATTCACCGCTGTATGTTGCTCGAGGATCAGTATATTTACGTAGTAGGGACCACAGGCAGGTCATATATACAATAACCCTACGACAATTATCGCTATTTTATCCTGGATCTTGGCTACTTCATGCTGGACTCTCGTCTGTGGGTATAGTTGTGTGTCTTGCTCATAAATTTAAATCAGCGCTCACAACGGTTTTGCCGGGTAGCAGCTCCGACCCGTGGTCACACGGTTACATTTTATGTTCCCGTAAGACAAACAAATGGAAAGCCTTTCTTTCTCACCCGGGTTCTCCCCCAACGCGCACGCAAAAATAGCGCTAGAGTAGTGCCTCAGCGACGGCGCTACGCCGGATGCCGTCATCTCCTGGTGGTCACGAGGTATCGTGTTGCCATTTTCCGCGAAAACGATTTTCCATTTCCGCGAAAATGATGCCGCGCACGACCCACATCGGTCGAGAGACATAAAAAAAAGCGAGCAAGGAAGGGAGGGGGAAGGAAGAATAAGATTCACCGGGAGGGGGGGCAAGGACCGCACGGAACATGAGACACCCGGGACAGCAGCAAAAGCACAGCGATGGGTTGTCGTGCCCCTTGTCAAAAAAATCTGGCATGTGGTGGTGGTGCTCTTATCGCTGTTGCTGGACCTCCTGTTGCTGGAACCGCTGCTGCTGCTGTTGTTGCTGCTATACATGATACGGCAGTGGAAACACTGGCAAACGTCACGTAAGATTTATCACCCGCCCCCCGCCTCTACCCTCCACGCGGCCATGGCAGCTGACCGGGCATACCTCTCGAGAGGGAGCACCGGTCCTACCCCAGTCACAGTCGGCAACAAGCTGCGTGCATTCATCCTCCGTCTTCCTACTTGATTCGTCTGGAACGTAAGCGCTACCGGCACTGATCAAAGGAGCACGCACACGCACACGTCCCGATCAGAAACGCCGTGGGCCTGCCTGCCCCCACGTTGCCGCAGTAATGGGCACTCACCCCCCAGGTGTTGCATCGCGTGGATCAACGGGGGGTAGCGGTGGAAGTTCACCCCACCGCCGTAGCGGCTAAGCGCGGTCGATGGCAGCCGAGGAGAAAACACACGCCTACACGCACCACACGTACTCAGGAGGAAACGGTACTCGTACCTACTCCGAGCGCGAGGCCTTTTCATTGGTCGGCCGGAAAACAAAAACAGCACCGTCGATGCCAACAAAAAATACGCAAAAAAAAAAGTGAAAAGTGAAACGGCCGAAAAACGAGACAAACGGCGCCAATGGAGGAGCCCCACCGGACGGCCGCGCCAGAAATACAACTTCGATCTTTCAAAAAAACTAAACACAACAATAAACGATACGCGTGCGCGTCCTAAACCACAAACGGCCCCAGGCGCGAACGAACGTACCTCAAGCAAGGCGGTGGCCTCCTCCCACTTGCCGCGCCTCGCGCAGGCGTCGATAACGGCGCCGAACATTGGCCTGCCGGGCCTCAGCCGGGCCTCGCGCATCTCGCCCAGCAGCCGCAACGCCCCCCGGTGGTCCAAACCCCTGGCGCACGCCGCCGCCGCGGCCCCGTACGCCTGCGCGTCGGCCATCGGCGCCGCCCGGACCGTCGCCGCTCGCCCCCCCGCCCCGCCGTCGCCGGTGCCGGGCTCCACCACCCTCGCCGCCGCCGCCGCCGCGCCGGGAGGGGAGGGCCGGCGCATCGCCTCGAACAGGCCGAGGGCGGCCGGGAGGTCTCCCCCCCTGGAGCATGCTCCGATCGCCGCGGTGTAGGAGGCCACGTCCGGGGCGACTCTCGCCCTCTCCATTTCGGCCAAGATGTTCATGGCCTGGGCACGTGTCGGTCCCCGGGTGTTTGCGCGCGCGCGTGGGGGGGGGGGGGGGGGGGGGGGTTCCCCAGGGGCGAACTTTTTACATCTTTTCCCCCCTCC